AAGAACCAATTTTATGTCTCTGCAGCCTGCTTGGACATTTTGACTCAATGAAGTTTGCATATGTATATATGCAAAGACTCCTGATTTTTAGATTAAAAACCCTGTATACCAGGTTTTGGTTTTGGCTTTTTAAATTATCATTATTTTCATTATTATTTATTATTTTTTGAGACAGGGGCTCGCTTGTTGCCCAGGCTGGAGTGCAGTAGCGCGATCTTAGCTCACTTCAACCTCCGCCTCCCGGGTTCAAGCGATTCTCTTGCCTCAGTCTTCTGAGTAGCTGGGATTACAGGTGCCTGCCACTATGCCCGGCTAATTTTTGTATTTTTAGTAGAGACACAGTTTTGCCATGTTGGCCAGGCTGGTCTCGAACTCCTGACCTCAGGTGATCCGTCCGCCTTGGCCTCCCAAAGTGCTGGGATTACAGGTGTGAGCCACCTCACCCGGCCAAATTATTTAAATAAGCTTGATTCTTTAGAGTAATTTTAGGTTCACAGCAAAATTGAGAGGAAGGTACAGAGACTTCTCATACACTGCCTGCCCCACGCATACATGGTCTCCCCTACCAGAGTGCTACATTAGTTACAGCTGATGGACCTGCACTGACACATCATTACATCATTATCACCCACATCTAGAGTTTACCTGAGGGTTAATTCTCAGTGTTGCACATTTTGTGGCTTTGGACAAATTTATGATGTTTCCACTATTATAGCATCATACAGAATCATTTCACTGCCCTGAAAATTGTCTGTGCTCCAGCAAGCTCCCTTTTTAAAAAAAGGAAAAGAGGTCAGTTTATTTTGTGATTGTGAGCAAAAAGAGAAATGACAAAGGGGTCCATCTCCTATTCTCTGCCTTTTGTTCTCAGGTACAGACATTTTTGTTTTTTCTTCAGGAGAGATGTGGCTTATTCTAGATGCAGGGGTAATAGTGATGTCTGGGTTGAGGTCTGCATCTTTCTCTCTCGGGGAAAGCTGGAGGGAATAGAGCTGGTGTAAGGACACCATCCAACTGTGGCAGCCCTCAGTGGCGCCCCCCTTCTAGCTCCTGTGCACCCCGCAGTCCAGCCCTCACTGCTTCCCAAGGCTCTGAGAGCTCACATGCAACTTTTTTTCTCATTGGCTTAATTTCTCTTAAGACCACTTCGCAAAAGCTCCATTGTAATCACTATCTGCTCAACTGCTTTGTCTTACTTACAGGTTTAGTAAATGCAAACATTCTTCTGTCTAGGTCTTACTGACCTGTAGAAAGTTAACTGATGAATGGTACATTTTAAGTCAAAACATACTTTCTGAACCCCAAACATAGTAGAGCTTTTGGTACTCGTTCCAAAAAGAGGAAAATCATTACACTATTCTATATAGAAAAATTTCAATATATAATATGCTGAAACAAATTTTACCTTTCAAAAAAATCTCAATACCTATGTTTAGATAAGTACAAGTGAAACTTTAAGAAATTCCAGTATCACTATTTCTCAAACTTGGATATTGTTCAGATCCTTTGTAAGGGGTAAAGATTCTCACAGATATCTAGAGTTAGCTTATATATTTTTTATAATGTTGCATACATATATGTGTATGTATATATGCAAACATAAAACTAAGGGCTCCTGATTTTTATAGATTTTATGCATCTATAAAACTAAAAAAATAAATTGAATACAAACAAAACTACTAAATGAAGAAATTCATATCTACAATTTTGATTTAATATAAGGAATGATATTTTGCTGAAGCCAATATTCACATGAATATTGTAATACTGTGTGATGACTCAATTCTCCCACTAACCTTTGTTAGTGCAGCGCACCACAATATAACTTGCCTATAACTTGGTGTGACCACATCATTTGTTTTAAAAATCCTTCTCCGTTTTTTTTTTTCTCACAAGTCTGTAACAATTCACTCAGTACTATTTGCCAATCAGAAATCCAGCAGTGAAACTGCATTCCCAGAATAACTATAAAGGGCTGAGAAATTTATATAGATATTCCACTCCAATAGGAATTCCATACAGGTTAAAATGAGAGACCGTTTCATCTATCATATTGGCAAACCTTTTTTTTTTTTTTTTAAGATAAAATAAATGCCAGCGGGGGTATGTGTGATGGGCACCCTTGAGCGCTTCTGGTGAGAATGAAAACTGGCCTGACATTTCTGGAAGGCAGTTTGACCATGGGTATTCACAGACTTAAGAGTTTTCAAAGCCTTTGAATTCCACTTACAGGTTGGTAGCCTAACGAAGGAAATAATTTTAAAATGCGGTCAAAGATTTATGTATAAGGATATTCATGGCAATGTTCTTGTTAGCAGTAAAAAATAAGAACTCCTATATGTCCAAAAATAGTGGAATAATGGAATACATGAAACTATATCATTAATAATTATGTAGCCATGACAAATAATATTTGTGAACAATTTTAGTGATGGTGGATAGTGCTCAAGATGAAAAAAAAGAGGATGGACTATTAACTATATATCCTATAAATATATAGAATACACAACTAAATATGCAGTTCTATTATGTCAAAAATGTAAATATGCAAAGAAAAAGATCCAACAGAAATAAGCCAAAACAATGAGTGCCTTTTTTCTGGGATGTGAGTAATTTCTGCTTTAAAATATTTCCTGAATTTTCCATGTTTTCTACAGTAAGCACAAAATTTCTTTTTATTATTAAGGCAAACAGCCCTGGAAAGGATAGCATTTGACATTATTTACTGCTGTGAACAGAGGTACATAAAAGGGCTGTTACTTTGGAGAGTTCTCACAGTCAGTCTGGACCATCCTAAAATATTCTTTATTATAAGTTGAAATCTGCTTCTCTGCAACATCCATACACAGCTCCTAGACTTGCTTTCTTTCCACAGCTATCCAGAATAAGTCTATGAGTGTTGTAGAGATATTTCAAAGGGTCAGTTTTTTAAAGTAATGGCAAAAACCGCAATTACTTGTGCACCAACCTAATAGTTACCTTTCCACTGCTCGCCCCTATGACCCTGCTCTCCCCTACTTCTGCCAATTCCTTTTCCTCTGGATACTTTCAAAAGTTCTCTGTCACACAGGCTTTCTGGTCTCACCAGCTTGCTTATCCTTCTGTAGACAGTCTCCAGTTTAATAACTTTTCTAGAAAAATGTGATATTCAGAACCAAAGGCCGGTTTCCAGCCTTCTTAAGCACTGCTATCATCTTGCCACTCCTCTGCCCAAGTTCCTCTGGAGGCTCTTACCAGAAGAGCAGAACGTCCCAGCTTAGCGTGCAATGTCCTCCTGGATCTGGTCCCAGCCTTTCCAGCCTCATATCCCACCACATCCCTAATACACACTACACCAGTGTCTTCAAACTATGGGTTGTTCTGCATCACTGAGTACTGAAATGAATTCAGTAACCAGCACTTAAAAAAAGAGAATAGAATGGAATAGAAAATACCAAGTTGCATTTTACATTCTAAGGGCAATTACTGTCTCAACATTATCTATCTATCATCTATCTATCTATCTATCTATCTATCTATCTATCTATCTTACCTACCTACCTACCTACCTATCATGCACACTCACACATATACGCATACTGTGTGTATTTTTATACTAGGCCATGGCTGAAATGTATTTTTTTCTTTTTTTTGAGTTGGAGTCTCTCTGTTACCCAGGCTAGAGTACAATGGCATAATCTTGGCTCACTGCTACCTCCGCCTCCTGGGTTCAAGCGATTCTCCTGCCTCAGCCTCCCGAGTAGCTGGAACCACAGGTGCATGCCACCACGCCTGGCTAATTTTTGTATTTTTAGTAGAGACAGGGTTTCTCCATGTTGGTCAGGCTGGTCTCAAACTCCTGACGACCTGCCTCGGCCTCCCAAAGTGCTGGGATTGCAGGCATGAGTCACCGTGCCTGACCTGAAATGTATTTCTTACTGTGAGGAATGATTAAAAGAAGGTTGAAAGCCACTGCCCACACCACGGCTACATCAGGCCAGTAACTAGTTCCCAAACTTGCTTCATACTACCTGTGATCCCAGCCTTCCCTCAGCTTGGCATTCTCCCTGCTCTCTGCTACTGAAATCCTTCAAGGCCCTGACAAGATACCACATCCTTCCTTCAGTGTTTCAACTTTTCCCCTTGTCTGTGATCTGAAAATGGTGGTTCAATTGTCTTTCTTTATATTACTCAAAACAGCCTACTTTGTATTTTGTTATGTCTGTACACTGAATTCTTAGACAATAAATATCTGGAGGGCAGGGCAGTGTCTTACCCATCTTTGGGTTCTCCGAAGGCCCAGAAGTCTAGTGAACCTGGCTGATGCTCAAAAATGTCTACCCAACCGAATGTTTTCTGTATCTCCTTCCAAGAGTATCTTCTGGTGTTCTTCCTCCTATTTCCTTGACCATAGCCCCCAGCAGGCCTAAAATCTGTGTCCTGAGGCTAATGTTACCTACAGTGATGACTCTAGAAACGAGTCTCTTCTGAAAGCTTTCACCTTTCTTCAGGAGCAATAAGAGAAATAAGCATATGTTTTTATTTATTTTTCAGAAGTTTCCTTTATTTGACACTATGTTTCTCCTATATTTTTGGTGTTAAGATGTATTTTGGGGAGCAATACTGACGATATATTAGAAGATAATAGTTGGTTTTTTAGTATGTGTATGCCTGTTGTCCTTATTTGACAAAATAAATTGGCAATTCTGTGTTCATCTTTTTCTTAAAAAAAGCTAAAAAAAATTTACTGGTCGCAAACTCCAAAAGGCAGGGAATCAGTTCCCCTTCTGGGCTGGCTGCAAGTAAGTTCACTTTCTTAAAGGAGGAGCTTTCTCCTCTCACCTCAAGGACTGCTATTTATTCGTCCGCGCTACTCTTTCCACGTTTTCATTCTCTTGGTCTTCAAGATGTGAATCACCGGTTTTTTCCGTGGGGGAAGCCAGTATATCTCTGGCCCTTTAAATAGGGGCGTGGTGAAGAGGCGCGGACCGCCCAGGAGGGGGAGCAGTGTGAGGAGAAAAGCGGAAGCGAGGCCAGTAGTGGTAGGTAGTGCGCGTGCGTGAGGCTAAAGCTGGGGTGCGGTCACGTGGGCCAGCGGTCCAGGGCCGGAATGGCTGCAAGCTCAGGTAACGAGTTTCCAGAGAGCGGGCCCGTGGGGAGGAGACAGGATTGAGGGGCCGTATTCAGGGTAGGAGGAAAGCGCGCGACAGGTCTCTGAGCCTCGGCGCCTCCTCCCAGCGCGACAGCGGCGCGACCTCGGGGAGCGGGCAGAGCAGCCCCTGACGGGCCGGGCGGGGTTGATTCTTGAGTGGAGGGGCGTGTCCTACGTTGGCCCGGAACTGGGTCGGGCAATTTCCACTTACTGGTTCCAAATGAATGTGAAAATTCAAATGGGCTTAAGTAAAAAGGGATTTATTGGCTCCAAACATGGAAGAGGTTGGGGTATCACTAAATCCAGTGACTCCAGTGATGTATTTGTGTGTCTCTCCCTTTCTGCAAAGGACCAGTAACCCCTCAGTTCCCTATTTCCTTTGCGACTATAATTGCAAGCCTCATTCTGTCCTGTTACAGTCCTGCGACAATTAGGCTGAGGGACTGGGGCACCCGCTCCCCCGACTGTGAGCCTAGGCGGCTGGTGTCATGCCCCTCCCCACTCCCGGGCGGAGCAGGTGTGTAGCCCGTCTGTCGGGCCTGGAAAACAGGTGTGGACCCCTTTATCCTCCAGGGACTGATATCAGGGTGCCTGAGCCTGAGGCTTAGATGGGGTATGCACGTCTTAGGATCGGTGCGCACCCTGTGAGTCTGGTTCCAGTTTGTCTCCACGTGCAAGTTGTGCACCAGAATGAGGGCAGCAGGATGAAAGGTGGACCTCTAAAGTTCGAGGCTATTCCTGTGCCTTGACCTGTTCTTCGTGCGTGGCACCTGGGGAAGGAGGAAAACAGCTGCTCAGAGTGTCTGGGTGTACACAATGGGAGTGCTTCACAGGATAGGGTGGGAGGAGGTAGGATCCGTGAGAGGTTCCATGGCCGTGGGTTATCAGGAATAGCTAGCTGGGGAGCCTTCTTTAAATAAACAGACCCCGTCCACTTCTTAAATTCTTGTTAGAACGAATAGGAAGACTTCTGTCCTCTGCACCATCCACCCTCTACCATACTCAATTTTCCCGTACTAAAAAACCCAAAACCCAAGCCAAACAAGCATGGATGTTAGCTTGTGGTGCTAAACCTTATTCCAAATATCTGCGTTTGGGAGATAATTACATGTTGTCTGTGTATGTCTATGTCTGCCTGTGTGTGTTTGAGGTTTATCTAATATAAATGTGGATGGAGAATCTGCACGTTTGTGTAAGATATGGGTTTGCTCATGGTTAAATTCAAGCACAGAGTAGGTATTGAATCCTCTGGCAATAGCTGGCCTGTTCTGTAGAATATGCAATAAAGATAAATGGAAAAAAAAATTCGTTGAACTGTTGGGCTTTATATGGTCAAAGAGGCATATGTGAGAAAATTCTTTCCAGAGCTCTTAACAGAGTAATATGTTGATTTTTTCCTTATATTTAATATATTTCCTTCGTATCTGGACCATTGTCAGCAGATAGATGTTTTCTGTCTTCCAGAATATTGGGACATGTTGGTGATTCTTAGCTGTATCTCACTCTTCCATTGACATTTCAACCAGTGTGACACAAAATGTCAGTTATGTATGTGAATGAGAAGTAAGATCTTTTGAACTTAATAAAGTATGTTTAACTTTGGATCTATTGATAGCTTTTATAGAGTTTAGATGGTATGTTCTCTTGATCCACAACTTTAGGTGCCATCTGTACATAGTGGTAAAATCAAACTGTTGTATTCTTAACTGAATCTTGAATGAATATTTGACTTATCTTCACGCTGTATGACATTATTAAACGTGTTCTGTGTATTAGCAAGGAACTACAGCTTTGCTTTGGATTTTTCACTGTTATGAATTTCTTAGGTTTACTCTAATAGTAATTACACTTTTTTTAGTCAAAGATATTTCTGTTGCAAGCGACAGAAAATTCAAATGGGCTTAAGCTAAAAGGGATTTATTGGCTCCACACCTGGAAGGGGCTGGGGTATCACTAAATCCAGTGACTCCAGTGATGGAGTACTTGCGTGTGTCTCCCTTTCTGCAAAGGACCAGTAACCCTCAGTTCCCTATTTCCTCTGCAACTGTAATTGCAAGCCTTGTTCTGTCTTGTTACAATCATGGGACAATTAGGGGATACATTCTGAGAAATGCATAGTTAGGCAAATTTTGTCATTGTGCAAGCATCATAGTGTGCTTATACAAACTGAGATGGTATAGCCTACCACACACCCCGAGTATGTGGGATGGCCTATTGCTCCTAGACTGTAAACCAGCACAGCATGTTACTGTACAGAATACTCTAGGTGGTTGTAACACAATGGCCAAGTATTTGTATATCTAAACATAGAAAAGGTACAGTAAAAATACAGTTTAAAAGATTAAAAGGTAAGTGCACCTGTATGGGGCACTTACCATGAAGGGAGTTTGCAGGACTGGAAGTTGCTGTGGGTGAGGTAGTGAGTGAGTGGTGAGTGAATGTGAAGGCCTAGGACATTACTGTACACTACTGTAGACTTTTTGAACACTGTACACTTAGGCTACACTAAATTTATGAAAAATTTTTTTCTTTCTCCAATAATAAATTAACCTTAGCTTACTGTAATGTAACTTTTATGTTACAAACTTTTAAAAAAGTTTTTAACTTCTTTGTGATAAAACTTAGCTTAAAATACAAACACATGATACAATTAGCTGTACAAATATATTTTCTTTATATCTTTATTCTGTTAGCTTTTTTCTATTTTAAAATTTTTTAATCTTTAAAAACTAAGACACAAACACATTACCCTAGGCCTGCACAGAGTCAGGAAGGTCCCACTGGAATGTCTTCAGAGGCAGTAACACATAGGGAACTGTCTTACGATAACAGTGCCTTCTGGAATACCTCCTAAAGGACCTGCCTGAAACTGTTTTACAGCTAACTTTTTAATTTTTTAATAAGTAGATGAGTACACTTTAATGATAAAAAGTATAGGATAGCAAATACATAAACTGGTACATAGTTTATTGTCAAGTATTATGTACTGTACGTAATTTATGTGCTTAGCTTTTATACTACTGGCAGTGCAGTAGGTTTGTTTACACCAGCATCACCACAGACACATGAGTAATGTATTGCATTACAACAGCTATGACATCACTGGGCTACAGGAATTTTTCAGCTCCATTATGTGTAATCTTAGGGGACCATGGTTGCATATGTGGTCTGTCATTGACCCAAAACGTCTTTTTGGGGCACATGACTGTATATAAGTGCATAAAAGATGTGACTGCAGACAACTCCTGTGTTATGCCATCCAAGGTTAAGCACCCCAGAATAAAGAGAAATTCCAGAAGGACCTTGATTGGCCAGATAGGACACAAGAATGTGATGTGCCTACTGTTCTGCTCCCGTAGCTAGACAGATAGGGTACTTGATTGGCAGCACCACCAAAATCATATGGTTGGAATGGAGGAGAAGCAGTTGCCCTCCAGGAAAGATGGCAGAGGTGCTGGGGTGTTTTATCTTTATTTTTCCCGTTGCAATTCAGCAAGATGCTTCCAGTTACTTCTTGCTCTTAAAAAAAAAAAAAAAAAAAAGAAAGAATAAATCTCTTGTGACACTACATCCTTCTTGGTACCTAACCAAGAGAAATTGAGATGACATTAATTGCAAGTTAATAAAGAAGGCCATCATCCACTCAGCCTTTACCTAAGTGGAATCATATCTTTTGCACATTTAACTTATAAGAATTTACCTGCATCAGTTACGTAAAGAAGAAAAGGGAATATATTTCAGCCTACACAAGGCCCTTATGCCTTTTAGAAGGAGTTCTTTGGGGTTGAAGTGGGTCTGGAAAGAGATTCTCATGATAGTGGAGACAATATTATAGAAGCTGGAAGTGATCATTTTTCTCTGTTATTCATTTCACTTATTACCTCATACACTTATTGATATAAAACTGATCAATAAAGTTAGAATTTCTACATTATATATTTGTAGACTTAGTTCATGTTACTGTTTTGTGTATTGTGATAGGGGATTAGATTTTTCTTTTCTAGACTGGAGCTGATTGCGTCTGACAATTCATAGCAGTAACTTAGCACTGTATACAGGAAGGTCTTAGGCACTGTTCCTTCCCTTTTCTTTTTAACATTTTAAAATCTGTGTGTACTTATGATCACTGTCGTCATTTAGACGTTCACCAACAGAACAGAAAGAGAAACAGAGTTTGGGCTTTTTCATTGTGGCAGTTCTGGCATTGTGAGCTACAATTACCTAAATGTGCCTTCTTGGAAAGAGATTCCAGGGTCAAGTAAAGCAGCCCATCCCAGTATATAGTAACGTTGCTCTAAATAAGGTCTGTATCTAAAGGCCATGAGTAAGGTGAAAATTGAGTACCCTCAAAGTACTCCAAGAGGGAGTCATATCAGAAACTGACAAGTGTTGGGTCTCTCAGGAAGCCCAGTACAGCCAGATCTTGTTTTTCCATGTTGGAACTGCATGGCGTTTGTTATTTTGAGCACAGGTGACATGAATTGCTTGGGTGTGAGGCATGTGAGAACTGAGACATAGAACAGCAGCTGACCGTCTCGTATTCTGTGCTCACTATGAAGCACAAAGTTATTGAGTGGAGGTATGCAGAGTCTCTGGCTCTATGTGAATCACTTCTTTTTCTCTCCTTCCTGTTGCTGAAGGTAATAGATGAAATCCTGTAAATTGAATGGAAGTATGGTACATTTCCACTGTATTCATCTTGGCCTCTAGGCTGAATTAACGTAAAAGAACATAAAACATCCGAGATTGTGGGGTTTGCATCATGTTATAAATGAGCTAAATGATTTAAAAATATCTCTCCTAGATGCAAAGAAAGGAACTTGCACAGATGGAGGCGTTTTGGAGTAGTATAACTAACCATACTTTATATTACATGACCAGACTGCTATTTGAGATTCTGGAAGCCAGTGATGCAGTCTTGCTTGGGTATTTACCTAGGGAGGGAGGGATGGGTGGATTGATCAGCTACTGTGT